CATATTGTGGGTGTGATTCTCATTCCATAGAAAGAAATATTGCATCTTTTAGATCAACTTGAATCTAACTCTGGGTTTCCATCATGCCATGCTGGTGGAAATTCAATCTCAGTTATTACTGAGCATTTCCTTTCTATCTAGGATTATACAAAGTTTCTAGGGATTAATTATTGTGGAAGTCCTTAGAATTACCTCAAATTATTATATGTCATCAGTACACCTTTATTTACTGTTGAGATTCCCAGTATTCCTTTACCTCCCTTGGAATCCAAGAATCTGGAATCAAGTGAGTGAATCTGGCAGTCCCTGCATCCAGGTGCAGCCTTTTTCTTTGAGTTTGTGCCACCTGGGCTCTGTTACAGAGCAAGACAAGAGTCTTAGCTTTTCACTAAACTAATGGGCTTCAGAATTCTAAATCTTGAAAATCTCTCTTCTACCTCACCCACAAAGGCAATGAAATAAACTGCCATAAAAACTTGTATTAAATTATATATGCTTATTTTTTTAATCTACTTTTTATTAAGCATTATACCACAAGCATTTCTTCATGACTCTAAATGTCTGCATAACAATAAGGTATTCCATCATGTGAGTGTATCATAATTTAAGTAACATTTGATAGCCTTTTTAGATGGCTCACTCTAATGCTAGCCTGGTCTATATCCACTCCCACCTTATTATTATTTTTTTAATGGTTATTCAGAGGCTAATGTTTTCTAATGGTAATAGCTAAAGGTTGGAATAGAGGAGACAGGAATTAATAGACATAATTTGGAAGAATAACAATTTCCCTCCCTCAGTGTGTGTGACCAAAAGAGAAGCCTGTATAAAAGCTACTGGCATACTTAAGTTGTTTAGAAATATTTTTCCAGAAATTAAGCAATTATTACAGAATGTTATCTAGGTAGTTGAGTAACAATGAATATTACGTATCCATGGGAAAAATTTAACTTGGCTCTTATTAAAATTTATTTTTATTTAAAAATTTAAAATCCTAAAGTAACTAACGATGGCCTTTAAATTATAGAAGTAGTGCTGCTTTTCTGGCCAATTTTTCTACAATATACCCTTATTGATCAATTTTGCAACTACTGTTTAAGAATCAGGGTGTACCCTTAGCCAGCTCCCCAAATCATGCTTAAAGGAGCTGAAAGCCATTAAAACCCCAAGAGATCAAATGTCTCTTCTGTTGGTCCACAAATGGGGCTTTGATATAAGAGCCACTCTGAAGAGTCCAGCCAACCACATTCACCTTGGAGCCAGCAATGTATGCAAAAAAAAAGAATCATGAAAAGGACAGGCTTTAGAATTAGATATTTCTCATTCATTCAAGAAATTGTTGATCACCTAACTATATGCCAAGAGATGCTGAGAATACCTGACTAAACAAAACAGACACAAATTTCGGAGGAAGAGTGTTATAAGATGAAATCAGAGAGAAATGGGATGGGGATTGCAGATAATATAGGGCCTTTAGGCCATAGTAATAACTTTAACTTGGAGTGAAATAGAAAGTTACTAGAGGGTTTTGAATAGAGAAATGTCATGAATGAAATTTTTAAAGGATTATTCTGACCCTTGAGATGAGAACAAACTGTTTTGAGCCAAGCACACTAACAAGATCAAAGCTATTACAGAAATCCAGATGAGAGATGACGATGGTTTGGACCAGAGTTGTAATGGTGAGATAGAAGGAAGTAGTTGGATTCTGGATATATTTTGAAGGCAGAGCCATCAGTACTTTGTTAATGGATTGTATGTGGCATGTAACAGAAAGAGATTTCAAAATGACTAACGTTTTTAGCCTAAGCAAATGGAGGATTGGAATTGCAATGAACTGCCATAAAGGAGAGATAGGAGGAACAAGTCTTGGGGGAAAGATAATGAATATGGTTTTGTATATTTCAAGTTTGGGATGTCTGTTAGACATTCTAATGAATATATGGAGTAGTTAGTTGGCATATGAGTTGGAGTTCAATGGAGAGGCCCAGGCCGAAGATCCAAAATTAGGGGTCATCATCGTAGAGAAGTTAATATAGAGTGAATGTAGATAGAAAAGAATTTCAAGAATTGAATGCTGGAGCACTCCAGTATTAACATAGAAATGGGTTTGTATTTTAAGCTAGCTACTTATAAGCTCTGAGAACTTTGATGACTTATTTCACCTCTCTGAAACTTTGTTTTGATGTTGTTGCTTAAACTGTAAAATAGAGATAATATTGGCTAAAATCTTTTATAATTATTGTGATGATGAAGTGAATTGCTCATTTAAATGCTTAGCTGGCACGTGGTAAATACTCAATATTTATTAGCTATTGTTACTATTATTTTAAAACCTGCATTTGTCTCCTAAAATGTTACTAGTTGCCTTAGTGACAATATATAATCAATATAGTAATGATGCCTATTATTTA